TTTGGCTTGATTTTGGTTGCCCTACACCTCATGGATAGCAGAGAGCTGCCAAAGTAAAACTATATAACGGAAGACCTTACCCAGTTATTTCAAGGATCAAATCCTCTGCACTTTTTACCTGCTTTTGGTGGTTCTCACTGAATTACAAATGATGGGTTTTTATATTTTATGAGAAGTCTATCATTATTATCTATGGGTGGTTGGTATAAGAAAAGCTACTCTTCCATTGCCAGAACAAATGCCTTCCTATACTATTTTTAATGTTCACCTATCACAAAATGTCACATTGTACTGTAATTATGAATTTTAATTGTGCATTTCTCCCCCCAGACTTTGAATTCTTTGGGCATGCTCTACTTTATTCAAGTTCACTTGTCCTCAATAAATGTCGATTGTATAAAATAAGCCTAATAAAATTAACAAGTTTGATGAATGGTGTCAGGAAGGACCTGCCTCTTTAGCGACTCTCAGGAGAAACACTGGTCAATTATTAAAATGAAACTCTGATTTGAAACAGCAGAGATGGTGGCCATGACCCTCTTCACTCTTGCTGGAGAGAATAGGGAGAAAGAATAAAATATAAATCCAGCCCAAATATACATTTCCCTGTTGTGTGGAGTAGCAGTAGATTCCAAATCAGATAAATGGAGGTCATTGCCCCAGCTTCTGTTAGTTCTGATATAGTACCAATCAGTACTTGACAAAATGACAATTCCTGATTCTCAAAGGAAATATAAACAAGTAATTGTGGGATCTCTGAACCTTTTACTCAACATAACTCTTCCACATGTTCTGCCATTTGTATGGTGATGTTGCCTTACTGCAGGTTGTCTATGTGAGAAATGGACTCTATGCCTGTGTCAGTAACCTGCAAGTATTCACTCTACCATCAAGAGGCTTTGTACCCTAACCAGGCTTGTTTTTCGAAGGTGGGAGGAAATTCTATGTTCTTGTTTTCTAGAGATGATTAGCCGGAGATAAGCACAGCTAGAAGCAGTTTCACACTTCAGTTTCCTTTAAGTCACTTTTCAGCAGGATGGGAATACTATCTCTTTTATAAAAGTCATTTTTAAAATGATTTTAAAGCATGGATATTGAGGAGGCTAAAAATTTATGATTTATAACTGAAGAGTTATGAATGACAAAAATACAATTGGAACTACCTTAAGTTAAAGGGGATTTATTGGCTCAGATAATTAGGTTAATGGTGAACCTTCAGTCTCTCTCTCTCACTCTGCTTTTCTTTATGTACAGAAAGAGCTCCCCATTGAAGGGTGCAAAATGGAAATTCAATAAGGAGCTCCAGTGATTGCTTCCCCCAGAAAAAAAAAAAAACAATTTTAACAGCTATTCACACACCAAGCCATTTCTACAAGAGCTGAGAAAGCCAGTAAAATAGTGACAGAACAGCATAAACCAACAGAGGAAGAGGACAGACACACTGCTGTGGCCACCGACACTGACAGCTACAGTTTCTGCCTCACCTGTTTCCAGATGGGAATGTCATCTTGCTGAAAAAAAAGGTAAGAAGGCATTGCCACCCTCTCTGGCAATATGGAATAGCAGCCATGGCTCCAAGGAATTCCATAGTCCTTGTTGACGATAAATCCAGCCTGGAATGACATTCCTGTATTCTAGCAGGGAAGACAACTCCAAAGGTCAACTGGGCAGGGTGGCCCCAGAGCCCAGACCCACAAAGCACTCTCTACTGTGCAGTAGACAATGATGACAGGGTAGCTGGGATATACAGCCCTTAGGACTCTGGAAATAAGGAGGCACATCTCATCAGAATTAGGGACCATACTGTTTCCCACTGACTACCCTCCCCAGACCACTTGAAAAATAGTAGGTTGTAACTGGGTTCCCCTGTACCTGCCAAGTCTGACTACAAAGTCTCAGAGGTGCTGAAGTATAAGCCTTAGGCACTCCACTTAGCCCAGAAGCAACTTGACTCTCTGTGCTGAGCCTAACATAGTACAACACTATGGTTTGTTGGGATATCTGGCCCACAGGTTCTGCACTTGACACAGGCCTGGTGTGCCACTCAGGGTTCCAGACTCCATCTCCTTCCACAAAAGCTGTCAGAGTTTGCACTTGATCTTAGCCAAAAGGCCAAGAAGCAGTGTCAGAGTTTAAATACTGCTGTTGATTCGATGCTTAGGCCTGAGGTAACTGCACACAACCCAACCCAGTAAACATCACACAGACAGAAGCACAAGGCAGATTGTCCTGCTGTTATAGGGTCAAAGTTACTCTCACATATCCGACTCACTCAGACAGCATCTGTGGGCCCTAACTCTTCCACTCAACATTGTTACAACTCTTGAAAGAAATACCAGGTTACTTTTAAAGGAACTCCAATCATATTGATAGCAGATTTCTCAACAGAAACCCTAAAGGCTAGGAGAAAATGAAGAGATGTGGTCCAAATTCTAAAAGAAAAAAACTGCCAACACAGAATGCATTATGCAGTGAAGCTTTCATTCATAAATGAGGGTGAAATAAAGACCTTTTAAGAAAAGTAAGCCCCAAATGGTAGAGTTAGAAACGTGCCAGGGTATTCCAATTCAATCCCATCAAGGTGGCATGGACCAATGCCATCTCACTAACCAAAGTGATCAGTTTCAGTTCACAATTGATCATGATAGGATTAAGAGTCAAAGGGATCACATAAACAAGACTAGTGTCTGCTAATACTAACTGATAGAATTAAAAAGGAGAGAACAATCCAACATGGGAAGTGGGATACACAGCAGACTCATAGAATGGCAGGTGTCCTAAATAGCACTCTGGCCTCAGAATCAGCCCTTAAGGCATTTGGAACTGGCTGAAGAGCCCATGAGAGTATTTCAGGCATGGAAAGCCAAGACACTCTGGCAAAAAAAAAAAAACCTAAATGAAAGATCTCTGTGAGTGAGATCCCAATGGAAAGAATGGGCCATCAAAGAAGGAGATACCTTCCTCTGACTTCCTCTGAAGGGAGGAGAGAGCTTCCACTTTGACTATGGCCTTGTCTAAATAAGATAGGAGTTGGCGAACTCAAGAGGCTTCCATAGCCTTGGCAGCTCATGACAAGAGCCTCGGGTGATTACTGATGTCATAAACAAGAGTGTCAATTGTTAAGTCAACGACAGGAGTCACTGTGTACTTACTCCCCATGTAGGATCTCTGTCCTTAATGTGTTGTACTATGTGAATTAATGCTATAACTAGTACTCAAACAGTACTTTACACTTTGTGTTTCTGTGTGCGTGCAAACTGTTGAAATATTTACTTAATATATACTAAATTGATCTTCTGTATATAAAGATAATTGAAAATGAATCTTGATGTGAATGGAATGGGAGAGGGAGCGGGAGATTGGAGGGTTGCAGGTGGGAGGGAAGTTATGGGGTGAAAAAGCCACTGTAATCCAAAAGCTATACTTTTGAAATTTATATTTATTAAATGAAAGTTAAAAAAAGAAAAAAAGAAAAGTAAAAATTGAAATAATTTGTCACCACCCAAGCCAGCCTTATAAATGATGCTTAAGGATGTACTACCTACAGAAACAGAGAAAGGCAACCAGCATGATGAAATAGTGTGAAGGCAGAAAACCTCCTAGTGAAAAAGCAAAGGGATTCAAAACAAACAATAGGAATCTTTGTAGAAAAATGGCAAGAGCAAGTTATCAATAATAACCAATTCATCAATAATAACCTTTAATGTAAATGGACTAAAATTCCTAATTAATAGATATAGACTGGCTGAATGGATTTTAAAATAAAAGCAAGACCCAACTGTATGCTGCCGATAAAAAACACACTTCACCAATAAATATACACACAGACCAAATGGAAAGGATGGAAACAGATATCTCATGCAAATGGAAATCAAAAGCAAGCACAAGTAGTTATGCTCATATAACACAAAATAGACTTTAAGACAAAACCTGTTAAAAGACACAAAGTTGATCACTATGTAATGATTGAGCAATCAATTCAACAAGAAGATTTGACTACTGTAAATTTATTTGCACCCAACACTGGGGCACCCAGTTTTAAATGACAAAGCTTAATGGATCTAAAGGAAGACAAAAGCTCCAATATAATAATACTTGGGGACTTTCATCAGATCAACCAGACAAAAATCAAAAAAGGAATAACAGAGCTCATGTGCACTATAGACCAAATGGACCTAATGAGCACCTACAGAACATTCCATCACCCAGCAGCAGAATACACAGTCTTCATTAGTGCATGGAACATTCTCTAGAATAGGCCATATACTAGGCTATAAAACCAGTTTCAGCAAGTTAAAAAGAAATGAAATCATATATCTTCTGACCACAATCAAATGAAACTGAAAATTAACAACAAAAGAAATTCTAGAAATTATGAAAACTGAGCAATATGCTCCTGAATGAACTGAGGGTTGTAGAAGAAATAAAAAGACATCAAAAATTTTCTTGAAGCTAACAAAGATGAAAATACAATATATGAAAATTTATGGGAGATAGACAAAGCAGTGTTAGGAGTAAAGTTTATAGCAGTAAGTGCTTACATCAAAAAACTGCAAAGCTATCAAATAATCTAACAGTGCATCTCAAGGACTTAGAAAAACATGAACAAATCAAATCCCAAATTAGTTTAAGGAAAGAAATAATAAAAAATTAGAGAAGAAATAAAGCAAATTAGATATCAAAAAACTAAGCAAGATATCAATGAAATTAAGAGCTAGTTTTTTTTTTTTTTGAAAAAACTAACAAAACTGATGAACCATTGGCTCAATTACCAAGAAAAACAGGGAGAAGACTCAAATTAATAAAATCAGGGATGAAAAGGAATTACAGTTGATACCACAGAAGCACAAAGAATCATTAGGAATTATTATGAACAATTATATGCCAACAAATTGGAAACTCTAGAAGAAATAAGCAGATTTTGGAAACATATAATTTACCAAAATTGAGACACAAAGAGATAGAAAACCTGAATAGACCAATAACCAAGGCTGAGATTGAATCAATAATAAAGAGCCTCCCAACAAAGCAAAGCCCAAGACCAAATAGCTTCACTACTGAATTCTACCCAACTTTTAAGGAAGAACTAACACCAATTCTTCTCACACTATTCAAAACTATTGAAAGGGAGGGAACCCTTCTGAACTCATCCTTTGAGGTAGGCATTAGCTTCATTCCAAAACTAGACAAAGATAGACCAAAGAGTTACAGACCAGTGAACTTAGATGCAGAAATCCTCAGCAAAATACTAGCATTTGAATCAAACAGCACATCAAAAAAATCATTTACCCAGGCCAAATTTTGTTTATTCCAGGGATGTAGGTATGGTTCAACTTATAAAACCAATAAACATGACACATAACATCAATAAAATGAATGATAAATACCATATTATTATCTCAATAGATGCAGAGGAAGCATTTGCTAAAATACAGCACTTTTATAGTAAAAAAACACTTTTGGCTGGCGCCATAGCTCACTTGGCTAATCCTCTGCCTATGGCACCGGCACCCCAGGTTCTAGTCCCTGTTGGGGTGCCAGATTCTGTCCCGGTTGCTCCTCTTCCAGTCCAGCTCTCTGCTGTGGCCCAGGAAGGCAGTGGAGGATGGCCCAAGTGCTTGGGCCCTGCACCAACATGGGAAACCAGGAGAAGCACCTGGCTCCTGGCTTCGGATTGGCGTGGCATGCCAGCCATAGTATCCATTTCGGGGGTGAACCAATGGAAAAGGAAGGCCTTTCGCTCTGTCTCTCTCTCTCTCACTGTCTAGCTCTGCCTGTCCAAAAAAAAAAAAAAACAACTTTTAAAAAGTAGGTATAGAAGGAACATACCTCAACACCATGGCAATACTTTAAAAAGCTACATCCAGCATCATATTTAATGGGGGAAAGGTGGAAGCATCTCCACTAAGATCCAGAACCAGACAATGTTCACTGTCACCACTATTATTCGATATAGTTCTGGAAGTTTTAGCCAGAGCCATTAGGCAAATACTAACGATGTTATGTTCAGAAAAAACTTACAAGATTAGTCCTGTTCATAGTAGCTACAAAAAAAAATTTAACTACCTTGAGATAAATTTAATTAGTGATATGAAAGAGCCCTGCAATGAAAATTACAAAGCAATAATGAAAGAAATAAGACACAAAATTGGAAAAATCTTCTATGTTCATGAATTGGAAGAATTAATACCATGAAAATGTCCATACTACCCAAAACAATTTACAGATTCAATGCAATCCCAATAAAGATTCCAAGGACATTCTTCACAGATCTAGAAAAAAAACAACCCTAAAATTCATATGGATACACAAAAGTGTACAAATAGCCAAAGCAACTTAAACAATAAAAACAAAGAAGCATCACAATACCAGATTTCAAGATATATGATTGGTCTATTCTAATCAAAACAACTGGGTACTGGCATAAAAATAGACATGTAGACCAATGGAACAAAATAGAAACTCAAGAAATTAGCCCACACATCTACAACCAACTAATGTTTGACAAATCTTAGAGAAAGAA